CAAGAAATCAAATGATGCACTGCACTGCTGCAAAAGATCTCTTTAAAGTGTTTGAACGTAAAGATGTCACTTTGAGGACTAAGGGGCACCTGACCCAAGCCGTGGTATTCTCCAATCGCCTCATATGCATGCGAAACTGGTCAATGAACAAGGAAGACTGAAGAAAAATTGATGCATTTGAATTAGAGTGTTGGCACAGAATACTGCATATACCATGGACTGCCAGAAGAAGGAACAAATCTGTCTTAGAAGAAGTCTGGCCGGAATGCTCCTTAGAAGCGAGGATGGTGAGACTTCGTCTCACGTACTTTGGACACGTTATCAAAAGGGAGCAGTCCCTGGAGAAAGACATCATGCTTGGTAAAGTAGAGGGTCAGTGAAAAAGAGAAAGACCCTCGAGGAGATGGATGAGCACAGTGGCTGCAACAATGGGCTCAAACACAGCAACAATTACGAGGATGGCGCAGGACCGGGCAGTGTTTCATTCCTTTGTGCTATGAGTTAGAACCGACTGAAGCACACCTAACAACAACAAGAAGGAAAGAAGGGAGAAGAAGTCCTTGACTTCGTGGAGCTTACCTTCTAGAGAACACAAAATAATAAAAGGAATAAACACTATGTTTCAGATGGTGGACACTGAGGCCTGAAACCCAAAGTCATGGGGAATCCTAGTGGGAGACTCTCAGATGCAGGAACAGCAGCTGTCGAAGCTGGAGTGGGGGAATACGCTAGGCAGTTCCAAGGACCAAAAAGCCAGGTGGGCTGGATTATACTCATCTTAAACTATTACCCTGAACTCCTTGGAGAAGTTATTTAAAGTTAAATGATAATTACTAGCTAAGGGGTCAAAATCTGTAAGAGGGACTTACTTTGTATCCATTCCCACAAAAGTTTAGATATTATTTGCTGCTTCTGAACTCCAGACAAGATTTACTGACAATTTTACAAATGTAAAAGAGAATCCCTTCTTGATATTTACATGCATTTGGCTGTAAAAACACAGAAAACCCAGCTCAAACCACTTTTACCCAAAATCTTATGGCTAATGATGATAATAATATCAGAACCCATTCTGAGCAGTCATTTAATCCAACAACTCTATTTAGCAGGGATTATTATCCCATTTTAGACTTGAGGAAACTGAGGCTGAGAAATATTAAATCAATTGTCTAAGATACTGCTGCTTTTAAGTGTAAGAGCTAGAATTCACATCTAGGTATGTTTGGATTTAGGCTTCGTGGCTCTCCCACTACATGTATAATATATCTCCCTCTACTTCATAGAGGTTACAACCAGCCAGAAGCAGCTCATGGGATGTCATAGAAGTTAAAACCAGCTAGAAGCAACACATGCATTTTAGAAAAGAAAGACAGATCTTAAACCAGGAGGAAAGCAGCTGTATGAGACTTGGACTTTGCTAGCCATCTTCTCTGGGAATCCCCCCAAAAAACAAACAAAACCTATTGTTGTTGAATCAATTCTGACTTATAGAGACCCTATAGGACTGAGTAGAACTTCTCCACAGGGTTTCCAAGGAGCAGCTGGTGGATTCAAACTGCCAACCTTTTGGTTAGCGGCCAAGCTTTTAACCACCGTGCCACCAGGGCTCCAAACCCATTAAAAAGACCAAACCTGTTCCTGTTGAGTCGCTTCTGACTCATAGCGACCCTACAGGACAGAGTACAACTGCCCCACCGGGTTTCCAAGGAGCAGCTGGTGGATTCGAACCGCTGACCTTTTGGTTAGCAGCCCGCCTCTTAACCATGCACCACCAGGGCTCCACCAGGCTCCCAGGGCTCCAGAGGGGAATAATTCCAATGCAAACAATGCTATACAAATGTGTTATACTATTATCGTTTATGTTATTATTACTACTTGGTCCTTATCAAAACAAGTTACAGATGCTGAGGCTGGATCTCATTTGCCCTGACCATGTAAGTCTCCAAATTAAATTATTAGCTTTAATTCTGAGAAGAGACCAATCGTGAGTTGCTTGGGGGATTGAAAGCCTGGCACTAGCAGCTGCTCAGAACAGGGCAAACCAATGAGCCCCCACGTTCACAGGCAGCCATGACTCTCTGTGTAAGATCCTCTCCTAGGCCAATAAAGGCCAAATCCTCAGTATCAAGGAGTATGATGTTAAGTCTCACTGTTTTCCAGAAGCATCTCAGGGTCTTGGTCCATTCAGTGTGTAGAGGACACTTGCAGTAACTAATGCCTAGATCTCTTAGATCCCAGGAGTTTGCATAGGCAGCCGCCTTCTCTCTCCATCTTGTTAACAAACATTGAGCCAGGAGCTGGAAAGCCAAGATGAGCAAGACACGGTCCCTGCCCTAGTGGAGCTGATAGCTTAATGGAAGAGACAGACAATTCCGCCATTGATTCTTTAGGGAAGGATGCCCTGGGAATATGGCATGGGGTCTGGGAATCTAAGTCAGACTGCAGGGGTCAAAGAAGGAGATCCCAAGGGCAGTAAACGCCTGAAGAGCAGCTTTGAAGACTAAGAGAAGTCAGCTGGAAAACAAAGATGGGATGGAATTGAGTATTACATGAAAGAAACACATAGTCAAAGGCTTGATGAGTGTGGGAAACCAAACGTAATTCCACAGCGTCCTAGAAAAGGTGGCTGTTATTTAGAAGACGAGGATTTCTGTTCCTGGGATGGGGCTGGGGCAGCGTGCCGACTCAATGGCAACTAAGAGCAACAATCAGAGCTAAGCATTTACTGTAATGCAGAGTGACATCTTATACCTGCTCTTCAATTTATAAAAAGTAATAATAAACCAAACCAAACCCCCTGCCGTCGAGTCAATTCTGACTTATAATGACCCTATAGGACAGAGTAGAACTGTCCCATAGGGCTTCCAAGGAGTGGCTGGTAGATTGGAACTGCCGACTTTTTGGTTAACAGCCTTAGCTCTTAACCACTGTGCCACCAGGACTCCATGAAAACATAAACGAAATAATAATAATTAAATAAAATCCAAAGGTGAAAAATTCCTTATTGTGAGCCTCAGAGTATTGCTCACCAAGACTGGATTGCCAGTAGTTGGGGGGTTCACATCCTCAGAGAACCCCCTTCTGGTCCCCACCAGTTCCGACCTCGCTTTTGCACACATTCGTTAGAGTCCTGAACTTTCCCTTACCGCTTTATTAAAATGTGCGTGTGTGTGAGACTTGATGAATTGCTGTCTCTCTCACCAGGCTCTAAATTCCTGAACAGATGTAATCTATGTTTTCTCTCTGCTGTATCATTAATTTTTAGCACAATGCCTAGCACGTAACAGATGCTTGACAAGATATGTTGATATCTGCTGCTCCTGTCGTTATTTGCGATGGTTGTTTGTGTTGTGATTGTGCCTGTTAGAATTTTTTCTCCATCCAGCAGTCAGGAAGTATGTTTTGAAGGGGGGAGCTTTGTGGCAGCTTGGGCTATCCAATCCAGCCTGGTCAAATAAGAGGCTGAGGGTTACAGAGGCATTTAGAACTCTGTGAGATAATCTGAGAGCCAAATGTCAATCAAGCAAGAGGCTGACACTCAGAATACCCATTGCTGTCCAGTCGATTCCGACTCATAGGGAGCCTGTGGGACAGAATAGAACTGCCCCCGTGGAGTTTCTAAGGAGCAGGTGGTGGATTCAAACTGCCAACCTTTGGGTTAGCAGCTGAGCTCTGACCCACTGAGCCACCAGGGCTCCTACACTCAGAAGAGGGGCTTTTAATTGATGTCAGGGATGGAAAGAGCATTTAGATGTTTTCCAAAAGACATCAGCTGGTCAAACATGCAGGACAAGCTATATAATTCATAGGGTCCAGCCAGTGCTAAATGAAAATGTGGGGTCTCGTGTTCAACAATTATTAGAAAATCCAATACGACAACAGCAGAGCATTAAACCCAGCGCAGGGCCCTGTGTGCACATGGGTTGTACGCCCACGAAGCTGACCTTGCAAACGTGTACAGTCAATCAAGAAAATCTAAACCTAAGTTTACAGTTTTCTGTTAGAAAATTAAGAAGGCAGTTGTGTATTAATGGAAAAAAAAAATTTTTTTAATATCCAGGTGTATTTCCTTTTCGTGTACACTGAGGTTGCATCTTCAAAAGAAACTAGATTCTTCTCTCCCTTTATCCAATGGGGCCATCTTTGTGTTTCTAAGGAAAAAAAAAAAAATCTAATAAGGTAGACCAGCTTGCCCCTCTGTGAACAGCCCTTAACTGCTGGCTATACTGAAACATTCAAGTCTTCAGCTATGAAGATCTAGCCTTGGTTTAAGGATCCACAATCCAAAAAGCATGGATTTTGAAGCTAAAATGGACTAAAATCCCAGCTCCACCATTAATAGTTCAGTGACTTAAAGCAAATAATTTAGTCCCTAAAGCCTCAGTTTGTTCATTTATAAAATAAAAGCGAGAGTAACCAGCCGCACAGGGTGTTTGTGAGGATTAAAAAGGCAAGGTGTGCAAAGGGCTGCGGGTAATAAATGCAAACAAAACAAGGGGCCGGCGTGCGCACACGCATTGCATTAACTCCGCTTCAGACCAAGGCTGAGGGCGGGAAAGGCGGGGTGCCCTCACGTCAGGGGATCCCTAAACTCTATAATAAACTCAGCTAAGTCATCGTCGCTCATTCTTGGGGTGAGGATTAGGGAGTTGGAGCAGGTGGTTCCTCCTGGCCTGACCATTCACTGTTTTCTAGTCACTTGGTCTGGGTCGGAATCGTCATCATTCCTGGGAAAGACACCAGCACGGGGTGCCCGTGCCCGCCCAGCCTCCCAGCAGAGCCTCCGGCGGGCGCGGCCCCCTGCCTGCCCTCGCTTCTCAGCCGTAGGCCGCGCAGCCCCGCCCCGGAGCCACCTCCCGCCTCCCCCTCCTCGGCTGCCGGGTGGCAGTCACGACTGTGCGGTCGCCGGCGAGGTGTCCACGGGCGCGGCGGGGCGGGGCGGGACGGGGCGCGCTGTCCCCGCCCGCGGGAGTGCGGGGAAGTGGGCAGGGCCCGCGGGGGCGAGGCGCGAGCAGGGCGCGTCGGCGCCTCGGCCAGGATGGGGGTCCCCGGAACCCGGAGCTGAGCGACCGAGCGCCCGGCGAGCAGGGCGCGCGGAGGAGGCGAGCCTGGCTGTTCCTCCAGGAGCGCAACACCGTTCCGCGCGGCCACCATGATCCCTCCGAGCGGCGCCCGCGAGGACGGCGTGGACGGGCTGCCCAAGGAGGCGACGCGCACCGAGCAGCCGCCCTCTCCTGCATCCACCAGCAGCCAGGAATCCAAGGTACAGCGCACAAATGCCGCAAGAGAACACAACTCACTCTTCCTCCTCTCCCTCATCTGCCCACCCTGTTTTCCTCCAAACTGGCGCTGGCGCCGGGGCTAAAATGGGTCCCTAGTCCGACCAGGGTCCAAGGACCGTCACTCCCCTGAGACTTGCATGTCTGGCCGGGCTCACTGCTAACGATGCTGGACCACGTCCCTGTGGACCCAGCCTGGGCGCTCGCAGAGACCCGAAGGCTTTGCGCTCAGCTGCTTGTACCCCGCGAGCGCAGGCAATTCTCCCGGCCCTCGGGCTCCGAGACCGCTTTCCTGGGTGCTGTTGGCTTGGCTGTTCCGTGCTTTGAACCTGCTTGTGCCCCAAACGCGTGTAGGTGTTAGGCGCTCTCTGAAGGCGGAGGGCTGGAGACAGCTGAGGGAAGGTCCTCCAGAAAAAGCTCGGGCACTGGGTCAGCCCAGGGTGTCTGTATCCCAAGGGTCTCAGAGACCCTTCGCCTAAGCAAGGCTCATCCCCTAACTTCCTGTACCACTCATTTCAGAAAACTAGGCGCAGGGGAATGAATGCCACCTTCGCGGGAAAGTTGATTTTCTCCTGTGCAAGTTGATAGTGTGATAGCTTACACTTGCTTTTATGAGGAGGTCTGCGAACACACACACAAAACCAGCCCCGCGGCACTTCTCTGTCGTTACACGCCCTCTGAAACTCTCATGGGTGCCACGCACGTGTTCGGAAATCTTGGAAGAGGATCAAGTAAAATGTGGCTGCTAGTAGAGTGAAACCAAGTGGCAACTCAGCGGGGAGTGAAGATGGTAAGATGGAGTTTGTAGCTGTGTGGATTGTTTTTAAGTGCAGGGCTCCTCGCTCTTCATACAGATGTCTTGGTGAGTTCCCCAGGCATCTTTGGAATGTGGGGCCATCCCTGTGTAGGAGGAAGGGAAGGGGGCGGTGCCAGTTTGGAAGGCAGTTCAGATGGGGCCAGGAGAAGTCCAATCCCTGTCACCCTGCATGACCCATCCCTGGAAGCCATTGACAAAGTCAGCAGGATCAAAAATCTCAGCCTAAAATGCTCTCAGGATTTGGTGTGATGCTGGGGACTGTGCATTTCTGGCAACAGAACCTGTTGTGGTCCAGTCGATTTCTACTCATAGGGACCCTGTAGGACAGAGTAGAACTGCCCGGTAGAGTTTTCGATGAGCAGCTGGTGGATTCGAAATGCCTACCTTTTGGTTAGCTGCCGAGCTCTGAACCACTGCACCGCCAGGGCTCCGGCCACCAGGAGGTAGTCATCAAAGATGGTAATCTAAGAGAGATTTGCATTGTTCTTATTTTATTTTAAAATTTTTAGGATAAATTCCGGCTGTCTGACCTGGGGCATGTGTGCCAGCTCTTCTAAAATTCAGTTCCCTTATCTGGAAATGGCGGCAAAAGCCTCCGCCTTCCAGAATCATTGTGAGGAATACTCAAGATGATCTAATGTCCGTCCTAGTACAGTGTAAGGACCCAGTCAGTGCTTGTTCTTTTCCTTCCTGAAATAAGGAGACGGGTTCCATGTCACCACAAATGATATCCTCCAAAGCAGCCTCACAACCCACTCATACATACCACCTCTCTTCCAACCTGAAGCTTCTGGGTATCTCATCATCGTCCATCATTGCCCATCAGTCACCTAAGGGGCACGGGTTAGTGACCATCTCAGAGGTGACCTGGAGTGCTGTGAACGAGTGGAACTGGTATTAACTTTTTGGATTGAGCCTGTTGCTCTGCAGTAGGTATGTTCTGGAAAGGGCCTAGAGTTTTGGTAAATGGAGGCATGTGCAAAGTCAGTTGTATGAGTTTGCTATTTATTAGTGTCCTAAGATGAATTCTTTGGCAAAGCAAAAACTGGTTGACGGTTTCAGATTTTTCATGCATCGATTTTTCTCAATGTGGTCTACACACGCAATGTGTGTTTACGTTCCTAAATGTGTTGCCTTGGCTTAGGTGTTCTTGATCAGTGGAGATGGGCCATGGCAGGGAGCCGATGGATCGCAAGAAACTGAAGGCAAAATAGTGCCTGAACATGCATTTTTCCTGGGAGAGAGGCATGCCATTCATGATTGTTTTTAAAGGTGTCCATGCACCTCAAAAAAGCTGACCTTCTGGTGGGGAGGAACGTGCTGTGAAGAATGGCGTAGAACAGGAGCAGAGAAAGGTTCTGTTCATTCTGTCCCAGGAAGTCCACACTGAAAGCTCATTGGTGTTTACAAGGATTCTTCCACCCTGAAGATGAGAAGCTAGTGAGGAGAGTGGAAACAAGACATTAGAAATCATTCCATCTTACTCTCCTGGGAAGTGGTCTCTTTGTCAAAACACTGCACGGGAAGGAACATGGTCGGGCTCCTCAAGGCATTCCACTTGCTGAAGGAAGACTTCTAAAATTATTTTTACATTTTAAAACTTTTTTCTTTCCTGATTACAAGAGTGGCATATCGTCTTTGTAGAAATTGAGAAGCAAAAAACCACGCGTTGGCTTACAGTTCAGAGGCAACTACTGCTACCATTTCAATAATCTATAGTTGATGTCTTTTTTATCTATTTTTAGCTTTGCATAGTTGAGAGAACAATAGTGAGCATCTGCTGAACGCTTACTGCACTCCAGGCACAACTTGAATCTTTACAGTAACCCTGTGAGGGAGATTCTGTAATTATTGCCATTTTATGGAGAGGGAAGGTTAGGTGAGTGTCCCAAGATCACATCGCCAGCTGAAGTGACGAAACCAGGACAGACCCAGGCAGTGCGGCTCTGAAGCCCAGGCTCTTCATCACCCTGCAGCTGATTCTCTTGCACGGGTCCTGTTTGCACCCTCCCACTTTCCCTAAGAGCCTAACCGCAGCATTTTACACAAGATTGCTTTGTTCTTCTCGTTTTAAGAAACCTTTGAAAATAAATCAATGTAGCTACATTATCATGTGAAATGGTTAAAGAATAAATCTTGTCCAGTTTGTCTGCGTCTGGTTTTGCTACTCTTTCCCTGAAAGTAAGTATATTTATGGAAGTAATTAAATGAAATATCATGGAATCATCTGGAAAATGGGACCCCAACAGTCCCTCCAGTCCAGATAGTCCATAGGAAAGGAATAAGGATCCTGAGCACATAAAACACTTCCAGAAGTCTGTTTCCCTCGTAGAGTCTTTAAAATGCTAACCAGAAACAGCATGCAAAACTCTGTGTGTGTGTGTGTGTGTGTGTGTGTGTGTAGGCATTGTCTGGGAGAGGACTTATAGCTTATATCAGGTTCAGAAGGGGCCTATAGCCTTCAAAGGTTATTTATATATGCTTTTTTCCATCACTTTTGAGGAAAACAAGGCCCAGAGAGGTATAGTAACTTGCCTAATAGACAGATAAATACTAGTTGCTGTTGAGTTGACTCTGGCTCATGGCAACCCCATGTGTGTCGGAATAGAACTGTGCTCCATAGGGTTTCAATGGCTGATTTTTTGGAAGTGGATCACCAGGCCTTTCTTCCTTGGCACCTCTGGACTTCAGCCTCTCGGTTAACAGCTGAGTGTGTTAACCATTTGCATCACTTAGGGACTCCATCTCACAGATAGTTACTGTTAATTCCTTTGTCTAAGAGCCCTGTCTTGGACCTCAGAGACCACAGAGTCATTTCCGCAGAGCAAACTCCTGTAGCCACAAGTTGCTAAGGTTGTTTCTGTGGGTTTCCTTTTCGTTAAAATTAGTTGAGCTGAAAAAGCTTGAAAAGCCACTGATGTAACTTACCCCTCTTTCTTTCCACTAACAATTCCAGAAAGACAACGCCTAGTTTATTTTCTAAGTGTCTGACAGGGACAATTGAATACAAAGGAAAAATTCACTGGGAGCTTTTCTTATTTAAGGGAAAGTCTTCTCTTCTACCTACTACGGACCACGTAGGAAGCTTGCCCGGGTCTAATGTGAGGGTTTGGTCTGGTGCCCTTTGCCATCCCTTCTATGACCTGTGGTCAGATGTCGATGATATGGAGGGATGATAGGTTTTAAGGTCAAATAAACCAGAGTTCAAATCCCTTCTTATCAAGCATCCCTGTGCTCTGTGGCACATCTCTATGACCATGGGCAAACAGCCTCAGCTTCATCATGTCTGAAATGGGGATCCTGACACACAATTGGCATGGTTTTTGTAAGGCCTGCGAATATGTAAACGCATAATATTTTGTACACATTTGTTAAGCATAAAGCACTGTTTAATTTCTCTGCATGCTTCAAATGGGGTGACTTCTGTTACTAGTCAACTCCAAATGTCAACACTGGAATAATCGGAATAACCAAAGTGAACATTCCAAGAGTAGAACTGGGTTTTCCTCCCTTTGGACTTTTAGCTATGCTGTTGGAGCCCTGGTGGGGCAGCGGTTAAGCACTCAGCTGCTAACCAAAAGGTCAGCAGTTCCAATCCAAGAGCTTCTCCTTGGAAACCCTATGGGGCAGTTCTACTCTGTCCTATAGGGTCACTATAAGTCAGAATTGACTTGACTGCAGTGGGTATGGTTTTTGGGTTTTTTTGGTGGCTGCAGTGAGTTTTCACCTCAGCTATTTTGCATCCCCAAGAAGAAACGCTGTAGACCCACCCACATGTGACTCAGATTTTTCAAAGGGCAGTATAAGCTACCCAGTGTCCCCGGGGAGCCATGGGCCAAGGTGCCCCTCATTCCTGGGTGCACCTCTCTGGACCTGGACCACAACCCACACTAGCAAGAAGAAATCCCTACCCATGAACATATGCCTGCATCTCCCACAAAAGCTTCTGTGTCCATCAGTCAGAAGCTATTCATTGAGTGCCTTCTTGGAGCCCAGCACATCCCAAGCCTGGTGAAAGATATTTAAAAAAAGAAAGCAGCAGTAGCTATTACTGATAAGGAAGTCAACTTCTACTCAGGGGAGAGAACTAGAGGAAATGGAGTCTTGGCTTTGCATTCAAATGACCTGGGGAGCCCAGGTCGTGGGCTAGACCAACTAAATTGAAAT